CCAAGAATATCAATTAATAACTCATTCAAAAGGAGGACTTAATAAATAAAGGGAAAGGGGTATGGTCATAGTCACTCCAAAAGCTAAGGCGTCAAATGGGTTGTTTAAGATAGATATTAGATGCCAAATACACATTATCAGTTGCAAATGCATTAAGGCCTACCCTTTTAACATATAATTACTTCTAATGCTCCATGTTTAATGTTCCTCAATTGTCACACATGATGAGAATCTAAAGCAGATAGTGGATGTAACATCCTCAATACCGGGTTAGTGACTAAATTATAAAACTTTAGAATTTTGTGACTAAAGTATAATAATTGAATAGTTCAAGGACTTATATGAGAAATGTTGTGTAGGATTAAATTATAAAGAAAGATGAATAAAAGGACACAAGGGTCATTTGATAGCAAGATAAATTATTTGGTAGAGCTTATATTAAACTCACGTGGAAATTAGAGGAGAAACAAATAAGTTTTCAGAGTTCTCTTCTCCTTCTTCCTTCTTCATGTGTGATTGCCCAAGGCAAAGGTGATTTTTTCTGTTAGTGGATTATTAATTGAAATTTAAGTTTGGTTTTGATCATTAGGTGACACTTAAGCTTAAGGAAAGCTTAAGTTGTCCTAAAACAATAAGATGAAGGGGATAGGAAGGATTAAATATGAAGGGTTCTTAAATGAAATTTTGGTATAAAGATAGTAATTAGATTCCAAGACCAAATTTGACTTGTCATCAACCTAATTAAGAAGTATGAAGTGTTAGAATTTAATTTAGAACAAGTAGAAAATTTGGTATGATTCTTGAATTTCATATGGATGATGAGAGTTTGAGGATAAAGATGTGTTAAAGGTTTAGGAATGTGTTTGAGTATGTATACTTGAGTTAAGTGGGTGAAAGGGGTTCAAACATGAGGTGTTTGAGTTGAAATGAAGTAATATTTGGGCTTAAAAAGTGATTTTTGGGCTAGGGGTATCGATACATATTCATCAGGTATCGATACTTCAAGAGTAAATTAAGGAAGGAATTCAATGGGTATCGATACCTAAAGAACAATATTGATACCAAGGGTACCGATACCTTAAAGAAGGTATCGGTACCATCTTTGAACGAAAAATTACAGAATGCAATATGGGTATCGATACCTAGGCATGGCACCGATACCTCAGTTAAGGGATGTATCTATACCCTAGAGGGGGTACCGATACTAGTTTAAATAGAAAATGAAATTTCTCCTTTCCTTTAGTTTAAGAAATGAAATATTAGAGTATGTCATTTGAAATACTGATATGTATCAATGTATGATAATGTAGATATAGAACGTAATCCCGTTCCGGAACAATCGAAGAATTAGAAACGGTTGAGAGAGAGATAAAGTTCTAGAATCGATTCAAATCAAGCAAGACTAAGGTTAGTGCATATCATGGTTAGTATAGATATTGTTTTATGAAAATAAGACTTGTGATAAATCTATTTCCTCTATTTAAGTTCATGATTTCCTTTTTTTATATACATGTATATGTTATGATTATAATGAGTATTTGCATAATTCTTAAATGCTTTCATCTGATATAATGTGTAATAGAAGCAATCATAAGAGAATAAATAAAGTATGTGATATGATATGAGATAGATGTTTACACATACATGTGGTATGTGACAGAATGAAAAAATATGTGATTATAAGAGAAATGATAAAATTATATGAATATATGCAATATAACAATAGTGCTCATATATGTGACATGAGAGCTATAGGTATAGTTGGCATGCCAAGAGTTGAGGGTTACCTATGTCCTTCGGGATATATGGACAGTTACCTATGTTCTTCGGAGCATATGGATAGGTCCTTCGAGACATAGATTTCATATGCCACTTAGTGGATTTTATACGAGTTGTGGTGACAGCATATGTGTGCACAATCTCATAGTACTCGTAAACCTTAAGTTCTCGGAAATGTATATGGGCTTATAAAAGATGTAAAGAGTATGTGTATGTATATGTATGCATGTTAATATGTTATTATTGTTTATATTATTTCATATATGACATTGTGGATTTATGATAAGTGTAATTGTCATTAGATAATTAATTGCATGATCACATTTATAGAATTTTTTATTATATGTTATGCCTCACTAAGTCTATGACTTAGCGTGTAAGTGGTTTACACGTAGGTACAGGAAACCAAGAAGACAAGTCTTAAGAGCAGCAGAGCAGCATATCTCCGCTTGAAGATCAGATCAGAAGTACTTTGCATAATATGTTTGTTCATGTAATAAATGTGTTGGCATGTAAATAGAGTTGTAAAGTACACATGTTCTGATCAATTTTATAATGTTTTGAACTTATTTATGTAAATATCTTTTGTGTTAATAAATTTTAAATTTACTATAGTTTTTATGAATGTACATGCTTTGAAAAGTCAATGTGACACCTCGGATTAGTATTCGGGTCGGGTACTGGTTGGGGGTGTTACAGCGGAACTAAAATCATAGGACCCCATAATTCTTGTAAATTCATGGCATGTCAACAATAAAAGACATTGTAAAACATAGAGGACACTGCAACAAACATATATATATATATCAGAAATGAAGGTGCAAATGTGCAATGACCGGGCAATATATCAAGTAGCTGCTCCAAATATACTACCCTGTCATGATGCCTTTTGAGTTGTGTGCATGCAGAATTGTCTTCTAAAGCTATAATTCAATACATATTCAACTGTAAAATTTATAGAACATGTAAAAAATACAATTCATTCACGGTATATCAGTCTCATAATCAACATGAACTTATTAAAAAGAATACGAGCACAAGATGTCCGTAACCACAGGTCGGATCAATACAATTCCCAGTAAACTAGTACCAGTAGTCTCTCGAATTGAGCCTGGTGATTTCACTATGTCGATACTCACAACCATTCCTTGATTTAAAGAAAAACTAACCAAGAAGATCAAAAAAATTAGCCTAGGACCCTCTTTCACTTCTATTATGATGGCCTGAATATCTTTCATAAGGAGTACTAAAAGTTTTTATTAAGAATAAGAAAGAAAATTAGATGGTTTTGATTCAAAACTAACACTGAATATCCTATTCTTGGCATGTAGTTCCTTAAACATAAAATTTCAACATAAAACACACAATGCGAGATGAAAATGGGAAAGTGCGAAGAGGAAAAGCTTACTTCCGGATAGCCCAAAAGAGAAAATAAATACCTTATCGCAAGTGAGAGGAGAGGCTAAGAAATAAACACAATTGGTGTTGCGTTCCAACAATTCTTCATCCATTTTTTCTTTGTAAATAGAAAGCTGAAAGACAGAGCACTGCTTGGGTTTACAATTTTACATGGCGGAAAACTGAAGAACAAAACCAAACGAGTGCATGCGAGCGAAAGAGACTAAAGGTGAAGACGTTGTTTGGGATTTCATTATATTTGATCATCTATTGGAAAATCTTTAACAACAAGGATTAAATGAAGAAATTATTATATGTCATTTATAAAAAATAATTCTAGCTTTGTTGGTGACTTTCAGCAATGATACTTAGTTCATCTTAGTATATTTGTTAACTCTACATTTCTAACCCCATTTTTTTCTCACAAGCATTTCACGAACATCTATGCTTCACCTGAGATGACATGTATATAACATTACACCTTGAATCGTTGATGGTCCCGATAGTCATTTGGTCGGGTCTTCTCTCAATGGACCCCTATTCAAGTCATCACCTCCATAGAATTCAAAGTTAGATTAGAATTTCTCATGCATCTCGACTGAAAAGTTACGCTGGAAATGAGAAGAGAGAAACAAAAGGAAATTCGAGATCGAAAGGATTTGGGGTGAAATTGAGGATTGTGTTGCAAGTTTTAAAAGTTGGGGGACCTAAATGCTAGGCTTGGAAGTTCAGTGACCATATTGCAAACGTACTAATGGCAGTGTAACGCGTCAAACGACCGGTTACGTCAGGGACCATATTGAAAACGGACTAAATATTGGAGGACTATATTGTAGTTTTAAAGTCGGGTGACCTAAATGCAATATTCAGAAAAATTCAGTGGCCATTACTATACTTTACCCTTAAATATATTATAGTTATTATTCTAACCATATTTTATAATACTTAAGTTAGAAAAGTATTAAATTGAATTTGTAATCTTTTAAAAAAAACTGGAAGCGTTTTAACTTGGAATTATACTACTCCCTAACAAATGGCAGGTGTGTTTGCAATTTAACGTTGTTGGAACAAACTGTACCGTCAGAATTTGTTACAGCTTTTATAATTCATAATGGACAAAAAACACTAAACAAAATAAATTATAACTTAATTTAGAGGATGAGATATTAGATCATTTATATAAAATGAAAATTTTAAATTTGATGTTATAAATATGAAGATTAATTAAAAGGACATCTTATAATAAATTTTTATATTATTCTATCTTAATTTTATATTATTTCATCTCATTTATTGATTAATAAATTAAATAACTATGGTTAAGAAGATAATATGCAAAATTTTCCTTGGACTGGATTATATTCCTTATTCTTTCCTCAGTTCCTTCTTATCTTTATACTAAAATTTTTGGCTGAACTACATTTTTGACCCTGTAACTTTTAAAATATATATATATATATTAGTTTTATGTTCTTTTTTATTTATTTTAACATCAATTCTTTATTTTTTTTATCAAATTAAATCACTTAAAAGACAAAAAAACATTTGTTAAACTCATGTCATTTGTTTTTTTTGGGTACTTTTCCATCCCGACATAATTTAAAATGGTAACAATTTAGTAGATCTATTTTAATTTTTGGTGGATTAATTTTTAATTTAACAAAAAAATTTAAAAAATGTAAATGTTAAAATTACTTTTTTTTTTCTTTTAATTCAAGGGTCAAAATGTCGTAATACACATATATATATATAATATATATATATAACCCATTTGGCCTATTACTGAATTGGATTCCTTGTAACATCAGCTTGGAAGTCCCACAGGAATCTCGCCCTCTGTCTCTCTCTTTGTCTATTTATTTAATGTTTTCTTTTGAATGTTGAAGCAATAATTGTCCACACACCATCTTCCTTAATAACTAATCCCTCTCCGCTTTCTTCTTCCACTTTCAGCCCTTACAACTTTTTACTTATTTTTCTCCTTTATTATGGCTGTTGACCTACACGACCCTTCCTTCTTCATCCCTTCTTCTCAAGATCATCACTTTGATGCCCTGCAAAACAACAACATCAACAACAAACCTTACTTATTTGCCTCGTCTGAGTCTGGCTCTGGGCTGAGTTCACCCACTGGTTCCGATCACCTCAATTCCACCATCACGGAGAGCAGTGAAGAGGAAGAAGACTGTTTTATTGCTGAGCTCACTCGCCAGATGGCTCAGTACATGTTTCAAGATAAAGATAAAGATAAAGATAAACAGGACAAGGTAACAAACATTCGATTTTCTCTTCTGGGTTCTTGTTTTTCTATTTAAAAGAAAAAACTGGTCTTTTCTTTTCATTTGATTTTCAGTCATATGGTTCTCCCATGGTTGAAAAAAATGAAGAAACAGCAGCATATGGCCATGGGTTTCAATCAAAGCAAGCACTTATCGATGAACAAATAAGAGCTATCCAGCAGGTAAGCATGGATCTTCTCTTTACTTTTCCTTTTTTTTTTAGAATTTAATTGCAGTAATTTTATTTGTAATTCATTTTATAATTTTACAAGCTGAAACAAAAGCAACCAATGAAGCAGCAGAAGGAACAAAGCCGAGGACCAAGCATCATCAAAGACAAGGGAAAGTCCTCGGGGGTTTAACAATGGCTATCACTCTAATACTCCATGGCATACTCTACATCAGCAGCAGCAACAACAACAACAGCAGCAAAAAAGCAAGAAACAAACCGGTTCCGATGAGAGGGCGGTTTTCCTTACCGGCTCTGGCTCGAAAAATGGTTCTTCCGGAACCGGTGTGTTCTTGCCTCGTGCAACTGGTGGAACTCCTTGCAACTCACGCAAGAAACAAGGTTAGAAACAAGTACCTTTCTTTCAAAAAAAAAAATCTTAAGAGTAATTGAAATATTACTTTTATGTTAATTATGGTCGCTTTAGGATTTAGACAGAGTTTGGTCGGATTAGTTGGGGATAGTTAAGTGTTCAGTAGACTGTTAATTATGCCAAACTGTCACATGTATTTTCTATTATTTTTCACCTAGTAATACTTTTACTTATAAATATAGATTCCTTTGGGACTAGAGTACCAAATTAGATCGCCAAGATTTCAAGAATGTGAACTGGAATCTTCCCTGGTCCCCTTAATTCATATGTCAAAATTATATTTTATCTTCTTGATTGGATTAATTCGAAATTTTTAATTTTATCTCATGTCAGATTTTGTTTTAATTAGGGTGTGCTACTGTGTTGATTCCCGCCAAAGTTCAGGCCCTAAAGCTCCATTTTGAAAAGACAGGGACTCGATCAAGATTCAATACTACAGATTTTAACAGTAATAAATGAGAATTTTACGTCTTTATTTTTTTTTTGTATTTATCTTTAGCCATGTTAGCTTAAGAACTTGTTCATGATCCCGTACAGATGGTTCCAGCGTTGTGAATTCGCCACAAAAGGGTCGGTCCGGGCGGAGGTGCCGGTACGAACCACCATGAAGAAGTGGGTCTACCTCAAGAATGGACTTATTAGGGAAGCCTTGTGTGGATTGTGTTTGATTTGTAATTGATGAATGGAAGGGAACAAAGCAAAGTTCCGGAAGGAATAAAGTGGAAGGAAACAACAGGACAGATAAGATGGTGGTAAAATGGATATATGGAATCTAGAGGGAATAGACACATGTAAATAAAATGCGTAGGTAGTCCTTGTTTACCTTCCTGTATCATTGCTGGCTGCAAATTTGGCTTTTTCTTCTTTTTGTAAAACACTTGTAATAAAAATCAGCTATCAGCACTATAAGTGTTTGATTTGGTTTTCGTTTCCATCTTTATTTTCATTTTATATATAGATTTTGTCACAACAATTATTGATGGAATGATAAATTTTTATATAAATTTTATTTAAAAAAAAATTAATAGCCTGTAGCTAAATTAATGATCAATTAATTCGTGAAAGCAAACTTAATCAAAATTTAGTTATTAGTATATTATTTATCTTTGTACGTCATGATTTAATCCGATTTTGATATAACGAGAACTTTATTGATATCCCATAGGCAAAAAGGTCTTATCAAAATTCAACCGATTTTAATTTGATCTCATTTTATAAATTAAATTTTTTATAAGACAATTTGAGTTAGTTCGTCTTTTGAAAGATAAGGTTAGATTGAATTTGATTAATTTTACAGTGAAAAATATTTGATTTAATCCTCCGAATCATAAATAATAATATAATTAATTTTTGTATATTTAAGTATAATTATATAATATTGCTCTAATATACCTTCCAATTAACTTCATATTTTACCCAAAAGAAGTAAAAAAATCATAATATATATTGTGATAGATCGAGTGTATATTTTACGATTTTACCTTAAAAATCGAATTAAATTTTAGATGAGACAATACTTCTTTAAATACATATTGTATAGCCAAGGAGTGTTGGCACAAATGGTTGAGATTCAGGAATTTGAGCTTGTAAGGCCAAGTTCGGATCTTGCCACCGTCACTCTTGGCGAGCAATCTGTAAATTCCCATGTAAATCTCAATTGGGTCTTAGGTATGTCCTGGTCCTGGACTGAGAAGTCACCCCTTACTTAAACTTTTATATACAAAAAAATACATATTTGTATAAAAAATAAATAAAAAAATATCATATCCAACTCGAATTTAAATAAATCAAGATTTAATCTCATCTATAACATCCCTACCAACAATATTGGTCTTCCCTAAGTTAGTTTTACAAGGTATCTCACAAAATTAAATCCACCCATGTTAATAATTTGGATATATATAGTGTACAATAAGTGGTGGTGACGAAATAAATCTTAGAAATGCATGAACGTAGGATCCATCAAAATAGTGATTCCTGTTTGTTAAGTATACCGACAATCCAAGTTCCAAAAAGAAGTCTGCCGACAGTCAATTATGCTGTTTGGCTATATAACGGGACGGACTTATCGGTGGGGCATCGGAAAAGAGCATTAGAAACGGCGGATCTTTTACTTGTGACAAAAAGACAAAAGCCCCCCGTTATTTGTGCAGGGATTTATTGCTTGGATTAACTGTTTGGAGAAACCAGTCCGCAAGGACAAGGCAGTAATAATCATGGGATTATATTATGCGGTCAATGCCCTGCAAAATTGCTGATATTATTCCATAGATGAAGATCGAGAAGATTCTGATCCGACTATATCAGATTCAGATTCAGAGCTGGTGGCGCTATCTACTGCTAATCCATCGTGGACATTATGACCTACCTAATGGCCGGCATGAATAGCCATCAACACCCATTTTTAATACTTTGTTTATGGATTGAATCAAATTTCCATTTACTCAAATTTCAAATAAATATATTATCAACTAGAGGATATCAAATTAATATATTTCAAAAGTATAGAATATGTTTTCTTTATTGAAATAAAAAAACTAATCGAAAACCGTAGTTCAACTTGATTCGAAATTCAAAATCCAAATAAGTTTATTTCGAGATCTAAAATAAATTGATATTGATCAAAATCAAGTTAAATTTTAGCTAGACAGATATAGATATTTACTAAAAGAAACTTAAATCAAAAGTAATTTGAACAAAGTGCAACTCAAATTTGATTTATCTATATTTGACCTGCATCAAATATTGAACTGATTTTAACCAGATAAATAATAAAATAATATATATTTTATTCTCCTTTTATATTATACTACTAGTTGATCACCATATTTAATAACAGTTTAACGTTTTAATATATCTTTCCTCATCCAGTAAATAGCTTAATTTTAAGATATACACATATTTATTTTTATTTATGATTTAAATTAAAATATTATAGGAATATAATATCATTTAAAAAATCATTTAAAAAATAAATATAATTATTATATTATTTTGTAAAATATAATAAAATATTATATTTATAATTAAACTTAAATATCTATTTGAAAATTCTAATCAATATAGAATTTATAATTAAAATTTTCATTTCTTCATTTAAAGGTTACACCATAAACTTTACAGGTCGGATCAATATAAATTCATGTCACAATCTGTAATATGTCTTACAGGATCAGGTTCAGATCAATTATCATCCTAAATGATGGTTGAATTAAAAATATTAAAAGGTTAAGTGTTGAAATTAAACCTAAATGATAATAATAACTAATAAAAATATAAATATTTTTATAGGAATGTATATATTCATACCTAATTCAACTCAAATTGACTCAATGATTCAAATGTTGACCTGAACTAAAAACTGATCGATTTGATATTGAATCGACTCAAAAATTGATCAATTTGATATTGATCTAACTCAAATCGATCAATCTAATAATAATCGAACTAAAATCAATCAACTTGATATTGACCAAATCCAAATATTGATAGAATTAATATTAATTGGCGCAAATCAACTTACAATAGACATGACCAAAATCTAAATTATAACTTATCCAGCTCGAACCAAACTTAAATTAAATATAATTTACCTATTTAAACTTAATTTGAACGATTTGATTGTCATCTCTATTTCTACTCTACTTACAACTATTTTTAGTTCATTTTTGTAAATATATTTTAATATTTTTATTTATCCATTTTGCCAACGTGGCAAAATTGATATGCTGAAGGAGAGGGCAACTATTATGCAAAGTATAAGCTGCAGTGATTTTGAGGTAGTACGCCAAGTTTAGTTGCTGCAATTTGGTGTGTTGCTGGCCGGGTTCCGGGGTATAGTGGTGTTACAATTGAATTCTAATCATGATTTATGATTTTTATTAAGAACTAAGAACTTTAAATTTATTTTAAAATTAAAAATTTTACTTTAAAGAAATATGTGATAATTAAATTTTATGTAATATATCTTAAATAATAATTTTTAAAAGTGAACGTTGATAATTTCACTTTAAAATAACAATATAATAAAATTTTAAATATTTAATTTTAATAAAAATATTTTAAACATTTATTTCTAAAATAATCCCAAATGAGTCACGAGGTGAGAGCAGCCTTTTTCTTTCCAGATTCGGTGATTCCTCTTCTAGAAAATGCGTAAAACAACGTGCATTGTAATCCGACGACATACGTAATTCACTTAGATACAAAAATATTCTTATGATGTATTTGGTTTAGTTTTATAATAGTAATATAATAAATAATTAATTAAATTTATAGTACATTGATAAAATTATTTTAATAGTAATTAATATTAAACCTTTCTCAAAGTGTTGAAACGTTGTGGGAACATTAATTCTGGAGAAATTTGGTGGTTGGGATAAATTAAAAAAGGCTTAAGGTTGTTAAAAGTTTCTTTTAAAATTAAATTTTTTAATTCTTTTACTTTTTTATAATTAGTATTTTAATATTTATTGATTTTCTAGTTAGAAAGCGACTTTAAGTCAATGATTTAAATATGAATATTGAATAATGTTGTACTATGGAGGTTTCGATATATATGTTGAAATAAGATGCCGGATGTTGGGTGATAAAAAGTCACGTAATGAACTCGATAGAAATCAAGAGTAGATATTTTACCAGTCAATTATCATATTGAATTTTCATGGGATCCAAAGATGCTTTGTAAACATGTTTGATTTCGAAGAATATGGATGACTTTTACTAGAAAGGCAGAGTTGAAATCTACACTCGAGATAAGGACTATTTTATAATTTTTGCACAGTTCGACTACACTTGGAGTTATTCAAAATCATGGGTCCATACCACTTGATCT